ATTGGTAAGCAAATATAACAAATATCTAACCCATGTTTTTTAGAGGGAAAAAAAAACTACGGAAAAAAAAGCTAACATGTCTCTAGTTTTTGTAGCTAGCTGTAATTTGATCACAGGCTCAAAGAATTTTACGTAAATTTTCGAAAAAGAAAATAACAAGTTAAATTATTTTCTTATCTTTTATCTGAAAAAATCACAATCTTTATATTTTTAGTCATCGGTAACTTTTTTTTCCTTTTTTTTTAATTTAATCTTTACATTTAATTTTCTTTCCTCGAAATGAGTTCTTTTTATTCTTAACCTTAAATAATACATTCTTTTTCACTTTAAGATTTGATATCTAGTCGTTTGAAATTTAGAATTAGGGGTTAGGATTTTTTTTGTACACGATTTAACATTTAAAGATTCATAATTTAGAATTTATTTTTTAAAATTTTGATGCATCTTATTTAAGCAATGGCGTCTTCCCTTTCCTATTTATGAGCTTACTTTTTTTTGGACCAAATCGACTAACTTTTAATATATTAAAAAAATAAAATAAAATAAAAATAATGATGCAGACTGCATTAATGCCGTCAACAAAGTGAAAACTACAAAACTAAGGTGGTGCTCAGCTTCATCGTTGAGCAGCCTAACCCAACCTGGCTAAGCCCAAGTTTGACCAAGGCCCAAATCCTACGGACCTCAAGTATTGTCTAGATTGGACTTGATTGATGTGACCACTAAAATCTTGGATCGGGCTTGAATTAGATCCTGTAATAAGTTATTTTTAAATATTTTTTCAAACCAAATTCTTGAAGGTTAGAATTTATGTTTTTATTTTATCTTTTTGTAATTTTTTTTTATAGGGAAGTGATCAATAAATTCTGTTATATCACATCCTTACCACTTAGTTTATTTTATTTTTAAAGAAATAAATTGTACTATATTAATATAAAAAAATTTAGAGGAATGAAAATTGACATTAAAGAATAGCCCAAATACTAATTAATTATATATTAATAATTAATATATATATATATAATCATAAAAATATTATTATGTGATTATATGATTGGATCAGATCTTTGGGTCGGTCCATCGGTCATCCCAATTTAAAAAACGAATATTCATATCCAATCCAATTATAGAGAAACTAGGTTAGATCGGAGAGGTCAAACATTGACCTTAGGTCGAGATTGGATCAGGCCTGGACTGAGCTTAGACTGGTCTTTGGGATTTGAACTTGATGCTAAAGCTGAGATGGTACACTAATTTTGGTTTAGAAATTTATTTTTTATTTTTCTCCCCCCTCCTTTCTTCTTTCCTTCTTTGCTTCTCTCTTTCTCTAATTTCCACCCCATTCTCTTCTATCCCTTTGTTTCTTTCATCTTTCCTTCTTTCTTCTCCCACCTTCTATTCATCTAATTTCTTTGTGTCTCTTTATCTTCTTCTTCATCATTGTTGTTCAGTGTTGTTTCTTTTTGAAAAAGAATGTGAAGTATTGGTTTTGACAAAAACCAACGGGCCACTAATGTAGTCTATCAGTCGATGTTGCAAAGCCTTCCAAGGCTGCTAAACTCCTATTGGTGAAAATTGACTTGATAAATTGTCAATGTCGGTCTGAGTTCAAAACCAACACCACCGACCGATTGATACACACTCCTAGAACCATATTGGAAAGTGAGATACTTTTCTAAATATTTTCAAATATACTAATCTAAACTTATTAAGACATATGTTTTCGATCAAAAAGTCGGGTATTCGAATCCTCACCTCAAATGTTGTTGAACTCGAAAAAAAATTGATATAAATAGTAGAGTTATGTCGTCATCTTTTATTCTTAATCTTCTATATTAATTTGTTGAGATAATGTCTTTGGAGGGCTGTTTTTTAAACTTAATTTCACAAAATGTCTAAAGTTTTCAAATTTTACACTTCTACATTTCTGCATGTAGGATTTTTTTATAATACCGATTTTATCTTTATTTATTACATTTACTTTTATTATAGTAATTTTTTTTTTGGAAATTTAAAAGATTTGAATCCCTAAACTGTAATCATATTCATTTAATTATTGTGGGCCCATACAAAATTTCAACACTAATTGCTGATTCACTGCTTCAAAAAATATTTATTACCATGATTTACCATTATTGTTAATGGAAAAAATATCAAATTCCATCTCTCTTCCTGTGTAAATTCCCACCGGTTGTTGGAAGCCACCGGACGCATTTCAGATAACAGGTTCCTCTCCGATATATCCCAATATATCCCTGTACACAAAAAGGTAAAGAGTGCAAGGCAACCATTATAAGATATATCCTCATATATCCTTTCACACAAAAAGAGAAATGCACAAATGTCTTAGGGTGTTTTGTATGCTAAGATCAAACTCACTATAAGATATATTCTCATATAACCCTATATATACAACTATTGGATACGACTTGGGTATGAAATGAACATTAGGATATATTGGAATATATAAAAAAAAACAAGAAAAGTGTTTAACAGTACCAAAAAAAAAGCTTTTCAACATTAGAATTATATTAGGATATATTGGAATGCAAACTTTTCGATTGGGATAAACGGAGACGAACTGTTCCGGCGACGGAGAAAAACGGAGGTGGGGACCGGAGATGAAGGAGCGGACAGAAACGAAACGATGGTAGAACGGAAACGGACTGCTCGGCGACGGGAACAGACAACTCTGCAACGGATACAAAGCCTCTGAGACAGATGAAGCAGACGAATGAAGGTGCAGACGAAATTGAGGTGAATCGTCGGAGAACGCGCAAGCAATCGGAAGAATAGTCCCAGCGAACGGAGAAGAAGACACAAACGGTCACTATTTTCGAATTTGGGGGTTTTCGAATTTGGAGATATTTTTTGAGGTTTTCGAATTTGAGGGATTTGGGGATATTTTTGGATGTTTTGGTATTTTAGTTTCTTTGGGTAGGTATCATTAAGTAAATATCATGTGATTCCAAATATAACCTTCTATTGAATGAATTCTGGAATTTAAAAATCAATTAATATTAATGTATATATATAAAAGGATAGTTTTGTAATTTAGGTGATGGGTACCATCTTAAATAAGTTCTTTCATAAAAAACGGTAAATTTTATACATTTCATCTTTTATGTAATTAGGATCTTTAAATTTCATACATTCCATCTTTTGATCTTGTGGCCCACTTTCCGTTCACAATTTATTTGCCTTGCGCATTTGATATCCACCTATATAAAAAATAAAAACTTTTAGTTGGTAGCTTTTTAAAAAGAAAACTATTTGTAAATATATATTTCTAAAAAAATAATCTAAATATAGCTTTTTAAATAAATTCAAATATAATAATTTTTTGAAATTGAAAAATTATTAAATTTGGTTGGTGATCTAAACAAAAATATGAAAACGTGGGACTTATAGTTATCCATGTTTAAGTATTTTTGGTATTCAATTGCAAATTTGAAATTTTAATTTCAATTTAAAAAATCATTCAAGGTAATTAGTAATATAGGGTAGTTACCGCCTAAATATTGAGTTCAATTTAAAATATTATTCATTAATTTATTAATATATATGTTATAATTTTTGTAGAATAATTCTAAAATATTATATAATTTATAATATATGTTATATTTTACATGTTTTAATTTTAACAAAAGTAAAATTAATTTATAACATTAAATAGTATATTTATTAAAATTTTTATCTTTTTTATTGTCGTTTTGTATGTTAAAGTTTCAAATTCAAAATCCGAAAGTACTTAAAACATAAAAATATTGTTTTCATAATTTTTACGGTTTGGATCATAGATCCAAAAACAGATATCCATAATAAAAAATTGTTTGACCATATTACATTTGGTTTGCCAATGAAAAATAAATTAATTCGTAGGTATGTGGCCATCATGGGATGCAATTACCTCTAAATCTTTTTTATTTACCTTGGCCTATTTGGACCAATCAGCCACTCATGATTGTTAATAAAAAGATAATATAAATTAATAATGAATTCATATATTGATTATTATAATTGTAGTAATCACTAATTAATCTATATCAATAAGTGGTGGTCACTCAATTAACATGTATTTTATCTTTTTAATATTTACAATTATTTTTTACTACTATTTTTATGATATTTTTGTAGAACCATAAATTTTGGATCAATTATAAATGGTGATGTCATCATTGACAAAATTATATTTTACTAAATTTTGGGTCAATTAAAATTAAAGACAAAAAAACGATAATTCTTAAATAATATCATATGTTTTTCATTGGGTCCTCTTTAGATTGGATTTAATTGGTCGAATTGGGCCATATAAAATTAAGCTCATAACCAAATTAGTTCAAAAATTCATTGGATGATTTTTTTGGCCCAAAACCCAAATTACTATAAGACCATTATGGTCGATTGATAGTTAAATTTGAATAAGTCTAAATTCACTTAAAAAGAGTTGGGCTGGGTCCAAAATTACCCCAAGCTCAGATATTTCAAAATTAAATTGAGCTCATGACTCAAATAGAACTCAAATCCATGAGTTTGGTCCAAAATCACCCAAGCCCAAGGTCAACTAAATTCTATCGGAAACTCTATAAATATAGGAGTCTTCCTCATTCTAGAGGATCAAAGTTTAGAAGTTGAGAATTGAAACGATTCATATATCAAATTGAAGACTCTCTACCAAGACTTGAAGATTCGGACTAACATAAAAACTTTTAAACCGTATAGAACTTCGATCCAAATTCAAGAACAAGCATCTCAATCTTCACATCAAGTTTAAGAGAATGAATCAAAGGATAAAGATTAGAGATTAAATCCACCACACAAACATATAACCATATAAAAGCTCAACTCCACGAAATATAATTTGGCACGCACGATGGAGCAATCTCTACCTCTCATCTTTTTTTCAAGACTCAAATTTTTCTCAAGAAAAAGAAAGAAGAAGAAATGACATCTAAGAAAGCTTCTGCAAAAACTTATGTTTCAAGCGACTTCTACACCAGACTGATTACCCTAGTCACTCCAAAGAAATTCGGCTAGAAGAAGATCAAACTCCTCCTGCTATTGCAAGAAAGATCAATAACTCTTTGTTCAACGAGTCTGCTCTCTCATCTATTCAATTGGAGAAAATCCTAGAAATCGATGTGTTGTTTGTCATGGTAGCTGATGCAAGCATCATGGAAGCTAGAGTGGCTGAAATGGAAAGGAAGCTCGCTGCTTTGATTAAGATAGACGAAGAAAGAGATTATGAAATTGCTTCCTTCAAGAATCCGATTGAAAGTTGAGATGTTGTCGAGTCAAGTCAAACACTCCTCTAAAAATAAATGATAGGAGGAAGACCATTACACAAGAAAACTAATCGCAACATTCCACTTCGGTCGTTACGCTGTCTATTCAACAACTTCGAGACACGATCGTGAACACCATCAGAACACAATATGGCAGACTTAGTCGAAGCTCTCTATTGTATTCTAAACATATATCAAGATGATGAATGATCTGAAAATGTCTTATGGATATCAACAACCAAAGTTCCAGCATCTCGACGGGAAAGGCAATCCCAAGCAACACACTGCTCACTTTGTTAAAACCAGTGAAAATGCTGGTGCCAAATGTGACAATTGGTCAAACAGTTCGTTTGGACATTGAAGGAGAACGCTTTTGATTGGTACCCTGATCTTGAGCTAGAGACAATCAAGAGTTAGGAATAACTTAAAAAAGAATTCTTATATTGCTTGTATAATATAAGACGGATTGTTAACATGATAGAACGCACCAACACCAAACAAAGAAAAGGCGAACCGGTTGTTGAATATATCAACCAAGAGAGCTCTAAGTCTTGACTGCAAAGATAGACTCAAGAAAATATCTGCCATAGAAATGTGCATTTAAGGTATGCACTTGAGACGTCTTTATATTCTTCAAGGGGTAAAACTCTGCACCTTTGAGGAACTAGTAACACACTCTCATGATATGGAGCTAAGTATCACTAGTAGAGGTAATAAAGAGCCTTTAGTCCTAGATGTGAAGAAATAAAATAAGGAAGTTAAAAGCATCAAGAAGATTTCCAAGGGTCCTACAAAGTAGCACGATCCCTCTCAAATTTTCCTTGAAAGGAAAAAAAAAAAAGAAGATGGAAAAACCTATTAGATGGAAACATGAGGTGTCGCCTATCTCTAGAAGAGAGATAATAAAATGTTTATCCTTCTTCGGATTCTGACATTTCAGATATATTGGAAAAACTACTGGAAAAGGGACTCATAGAACTCTCTGAATGCAAACGACCAAAACAGATGAGGAAAATAAATGATTCCAGGGAAAATAAATGATTTCAACTACTGTGTATATGATTGAGTCATTAGTCATCCAGTGGAGAAATGTTTCATGTTGAAAGAGAGAATCCTGGACCTAGCTCAAGAGAAGAAGATTGAACTTGATGTTGATGAGATAGCCCAAACAAATCACGCTGCCATATAATATCAAGCTCCAACAACCAGTTATCTGCAATCCCACTTCATGATCAAGCAATATATTTTGGATCCAGTTCGGAACCCTCGAACCTATAGCCATCTAGTCCTAACAAGAAGCTCATATGACGAACTCCCAATGAATGAACGAACTTACAGAGAATGGACTCTTGTAACTCGTCGGAAGAAGCGAAAACAAAATTTCGTTAAGAAGTCTTGCCTATTTTGATGCCATAGAAGAAGAAGCAAAACCCAGAAGAAGAAAGTAAACAACAGTGTAAGGAGAACTAAACTCGTCATGGAAGAAAATGAAGATATTTCTCTACCTCGACGATTGATATATTCTAATGGCCCGTTTGGTTGGAGAATTTAAGAAGTGAGAATGAGCTTGGGAATATAAAGCCCATGTTTGGTGGAGGTTTGAAATTATTTGCCTGGGAAAACTCTTTTCCCAGACATCATTAACACGGTAACTGGGAGGGTTTCTTTATCCTGTCAAAAAGCGTGGGTTTCTCTCTTTCCAAAAACCCTTCTCTCTTTCCAAAAACTCTTTCTCCTATAAAATTGATCACCCTCTCCTTTTCTTTTCTTAGTTTTTTTTTTCTGCTATTTGTTTTTTATTCGGTCTTTGCCTTCTTTTTTTCTGTTTTTTTTTATTTTTTGCTATTTGTTTTTTCCTTGGTGCTTTGTTACTATTCTTTTCGTTGGTGACGAAAGGTATAACTTGTACAAATCTATCCATTTCCAATTTGATCCGCGCTAACGCGCCCCTGCCGTTTTTCTAAAGCAACAAGTGAGAAACTTGGACTTAAAGAAAGCAACAGCAACCCATCAACCTAATAATAATGAAGGGGCTTGGCTCTTTTTGAGTGCCTTTCAAGAGGCGCAGCACTGTCGAAGGTTCCTGATCAACAACAGGTGGCAGCTCAAAAGGCGTTGTCGTAGACGCCGACACTGATGAATCAACAAGAGGTGGAAGTGCCCTCCTTCGAGAATCCGAAATGACGGCACAGCACAAGCCGCTATACCCTTAGAGGCTCCGCGTTGCCTCAGATCCAC